GCAGCTCAATACAAGGCCTAATGCAGGTCAAAGCTGGGAGTGATGAACAGAAGTGTGCTCAGTCTGTAATACAGTGTACTGGCTAATAACTCTTTCTGCTGGTTGCACAAACAGCAGTAACAGGCTATGACATTTATTTTAACTTAGTTTTTACAAAGCTTAGACTACCCATATTTTGCTCCTTTCTTGGCTGAAGAGTAATTCATCCTGTTTCATGCAAAATAAAGAGGAAGAGATCGAGGATCAGTAAATAAACTTTTCTTCTTACTTAACTGCACAGAATGCTGTTGCCAGAAGTGGGCACTGACCCTTCCAACTTCCTGCTGTGGCATTTCTGTATCTGGGACTGATACGAAATACTGGACAGGGGAGTTATACTGTTAGAGTGACATTCCAAGTGGATTTGTCTCCTGCTCTTGCGTTGCAGAACGTTTGATACTACTGCTTCTATGTACATTCCTTTTGTCTTGACTCATCCAACAGCCTTTTCATGATCAAAAACACTCTAATGAGCCAAAACTGCAGTAAAGGCTTTGTACTTCTGCATTTCCATGCAAAAGCAGTCACAGGTCACCAGTTACTAGTCTTCAGACTCTTGGATTCCAGAATACTCTTCTAGCTTTATAAACACTCCATTAAGCTGAATATATCAGTCTGTTACAGGAACTGGTAGAGATATATTAGGAATAAGCTGTAGCCTGTAAGTACATCAGTGATCCTATATCCATTTGAGGTATATGCAGGACAGCTGGGCACTCATTTACAATGAAACATGGTATAACAGTATCATTTGCTGCAGTGGACACTGGTGCCTGCTTTAATCTTCTAATCCAGGCCTCTGCCTTTCTCATAGGATAATATTTTAAAGGCAGAACTACCATCCCTAAAATACACCTTAATTAGAGGAATATGTTTGCATATAAAAATATGTTCAAAGATAAAAATAATTATGTGCATATACTAAGAATAGCTCAACAGTCACATCTCAGTAAAGACTTTTGAGACATGAAGAGGCTCCTATAGCTTCCTTCAAAATAAGTAAAGCTTTGCTTCTCTTGGTGTTTAGTCTGTGATGAGAAAATCCCCCCCAATTATTTTAGTTTGATTCTAAATACAGACGTGTATGAAACACCCAACCTGCTGCTCACAGAGGTCACACAGTAAGAAGCCAGTAACCCAAGCCACCTGACATGTACTTGTGGGACAGGTATTTACTGCCCTTGACTTACAACATGAAAAATAACTTACACTGGAATGAAAAAGATCTCCGTGTTACAAACTATGACTCACTGTTTGTATTTATTAATACTCTTCAGAGCTTTCAGCACATCACGTTTTGCACACCGTAACAAGTCACCTCTTTTTCACCCTGAGCCAGGGTGGTAAAGCTTTAATGTAAAGTGTATCAGAGAAACAGATGCTTTGTTATTCTTCACAGATCAAGGAAATAATCTCAAAATTAATTTTAGCTTTTGATAGGATTTTCCGAAGGGTTTAGCTAAACCTCTAACAGCACAATTAACACAATTAAGTTTAAATCGTTAGATGAAAAGGACATGGAATTGAAATGTGAAATCAAACCCCACACCTGAATTTTCTTATGGCTTTAACCATACTGCTAAGCACATGTGCCTGAGTGCACAATGAGTTCACAGTTTTGGAGCACCATATCATAATCTTTGTACAGCTTCTCATGCTGTACTATATGCTAAGAATGTCCCCAACAAAGTCCAGAGCTGATTTTGCAGAGCTTACAGTGCTTTCCTTGTGTGTTCTTTCACATATATCCACTATGAGATTGAGATTATTAGGGATGATACCAAATCCCATGGTAGTTACGGGTTCCATGATACTCTCCACAGAGCAGAAGGAAAGATGCCTCATAATTCACAGGCAACAGTCAAGTGGGAGTGAGAATGACAGCATTATTGAGCTCTGAATTTTCTCTTCATGTCAACAGAGATGTAAAGTTCTCTAAATCTCAGAGAAGTTACCGGAGAAGACACATTTATTTAGTGCCTCTGTGTTCTTTCATCTTTTCGTAATGTTCCTGGGTTGCAGGATAAAGGTTAAGTCTTTTTATTTTCTTATTTGTTCATCAGTGTTGCAGATATTACAGTATTACAGATATTCCTGGGTTGCAGGATAAAGGTTAAGTCTTTTTATTTTCTCATTTGTTCATCAGTGCTGCAGATATTACAGGCAGATAGACAGCAATTCCCTAAAATTTTGGTCAAAAAGAATTTAAAAGGAATCTCAGGCTGTTACTCTAAGGTAGAACTTTGTAATTCAGGGCACTGCCACAGCCTTGCACTGGGATGTGCACTCATGAAGGCAACACAAAACATGGAAAAGCAGCAGAGTGAAGAGAGGGAAGTGTTTTCTGCAGGTACACCTTTTTTGCACCCCAGTAATCACTGCCATATCATGTAGCCCTATAGCAACACCCTCTGGCATCAATAGAAAGGTTTGCATCAACTTCAGTGTGTGATAGAAGCAGTTATGTTGTAATTCTGGAAACAAACAGTCACAATGCTGAGCCATCCAAAACACAGCCCCCTCACCCTTACCCTGGCAGGTACTAAGGAGGGTTGTGAAGACAGTGGGAAAAAGAGAGCAAAATATACTTCCAGGAAATGCTGCATATTGAAGTAAGACAGTATTTGGTATTTTTCAAGAAAAGTGTAAATGAAGAGAGAAGCATTCTGAGGTTTATTTGCTAATCTTGCTTACTAACTGAAATTATTTTCTTTTAAACAGTAATTGCTTTTCTAAATTATCCAGTATGAGAAGGGAGGGTAGGATTTTTGCAGATAAGTTAATTAAGATGGTTAATGTCAAGTGCTCAAGAGAGCTGCAATGAATCATCTAAACTGCTTGAATCATCCAGAACATGTATATATGCTATTTTATAGAGATAAAATATCTTTACTTTGCTACAATTTAAAACCTCCTGGTTTTACTCTTGCAAGGAGCTTCTACAAAGGGATATAAAGTACCTGAAGATAAGCATTTGCTATCAGATCTCAAGTGGATTGTCTGAATTTTCTGGTTTTCCTTATATTGCCAAGTCCCTAATGTCAAAAGTACACTTTTCCCAGTATTCATAAGAACGTTATCTTCATTTAAAAAAAACAAACCCAAAACCCACAAATAAACAAACTAGAAAAAAATTAGATTCGTTTGAAAATTAATACATAAAGGCAAAAAAATGAGAAAAATCTGTTTGTCATTGCTTTTTCTCATGTACTGTAGTCCAAGCTCCTCACTTCACAAACCTAGTAACAGAACAGCTGATCTGCAATACAATAACACAGAAAACCTTGACAGCATGGAATCAAACTGTCTGGGCAGTACCTAGAGATCATTCCTTGTTAGATATAAGTTAACAGCAAAGCTAATGGATGCAAGACATACTGTTCAAAACAGAGGATTCAAAATATTGCAATTCTGACTCATTTTGCATAGGAAAGCCAATACATTAAGGCAGGAATTACAGCGGGACACTCCAGCAGATTAGCATGTCAGATTTCCTGGTCAAAGCCATTTCTCTTTAGCAAAGTACCAAAGATCAGATCTTGTTTATAGCAGCTGCTGTAATGGTCTACAGCAATACTTGGTTCTATGAGACTACATACATTAGTTAAAACTGCTGAGTGCCAGAACCCCGGGAGGAGCACAGTTACTTCAGCCCAGTGTTCCTCCTTGTGCTCTGGTGACTATTGCCAATCCATGTTGCACTTTAGAAACCAAAGACCAAGAGTTATTCTGTAATAAGAATGTGGATATGTTTTGGGTGCTACTAGAAAATTTAATGATTGTTCCAGACCTTAATCATGATTACCAGACCAATGCACAATAGGGTAGGTGCCATTACATTCATTTTTCAGCAAATTCATTACTTATTGAAATATTAAATATGTTACCATGTTACCTACCCTCTAGGAAGTCCACCTTCCGAAGCCCTTCGGTTGAGACTTAATTTATGCATCTCAGCCATCTCCCTTAGAGTCTCTGCCGAGTAAAGGCCAATGGGGTTGTTATACTGCCTTGCAGGGCTCAGCTGGTGTGCAGGACTATTGCCACCAGCCAATACAGGGCTTGGTTTGGAACCTAGAGGACTCTTTGCAGGTGAAATGTCAGGAGTCACAGACTGAGAGGACACGGAAGATCTAACTGCGGTAGTCTTTAAGTAGGAAGA